AATTAGATTAATTATTTATTAAGAATATTATATTATATTCTAAAATTTATTAATAAATATATTTTTATATTCTAATAATTTATTATATATTATGAAAATAAAAATATTAAATCATCATATATTATTATATTATAATTTAATATATTATTGTAATACTAAAAAAATATAATATTATATTATTAAAATTATTAATAATAAATTTTAATAATTAATATTTTTATTAAAATGATAATAAAATAGAATATTAACGTTAAATTTATAAATAATATTATTTTGGATATTAATGCTTTGAAGTGAAAAGTTTGGAAAACAACCTATAAAAAATCAATTCGTAAGTCATTTTTTAAAAAATGCAAAGGAAATTCTATTTACTAGGAAAATGAATTATGTTTGACTATTTCTTATCCACAAACCAAATATTGAAAAATGAAAGAAAACGTTTTTCGAAAAACCAATTACAGATAAACAAAAATACCATAATAGTTGTTGCCAATTGAAAATAAATATAATATACAAAAATTAGTTGATTAAGCATTTGTTTTTGTTTCAGTTTGATATTAAGAGAATTAAAATTTTAGGATCAACACTTACTCACCTTGATCATAAGTAGATCCGCATACGTACACTTCAGTACTAATGGCTCAACGACGAATTGAAAATGGTTGACAGGCAGAAGACCTCATCGTTCTTATGCATGTTCGAATCTACAATAGTAACGAAGCACTTTGGAGTGAGTGTATTGCATGATATGTGTTAAAAGCTTCTTTTGTAATTAGCGGTATATATTTTCGGATGCCAGATATTATATGATTTAAAAAAAAAATAATTATTAAAACTATGATTCGTATATGATCCGAAAAAAAATAGATATTCTTTTAGATATATAGATTTTCGGATAGGATATCCGTATATCCGAATCTGAATATAAAATATAATTTGAAAACAATTTATATTTAAATTTTATATTTTATATTTTGTGACTTTATGCAACATATTCTATACATTATATTTAATTATTCACTAACAATAAACAATTAAATATCTTAGTTTTTATTGGGCTATAACCTTAGTGGGTTACTCACTCTTATTTTACAGACTATCTAAGACCCATTTTTATCGGATTTTCGAATAATCCAAAATTAAAATTTACCCGATCATATCTAATTTAATTATCTGATTGTTTTCGTAGATATATGAAAATAAATAAAAAAGCATATCAAATATCTAAATTATTGGATCGGATCAATGGATCGAACAGATTGAATTAGAGTTTTTACACACCCCTATTTGAAACAGTGAAATAGGCCAATGGAAACTAATAGCTTGGCTCTGTTAGATCATGCAGCCATACTCACGTGTTATAAATGATTTTGTTTTATTTCATTAAATTATTGGGAATTTTTCTGGGAGAAATGCTCATATATGTTTTCTCTGAATTTTTTGAACCTTGAATCTCAAATACAAGGTACAATGTATCAAGCGGTGAACGTTACCCCGTACTATACAAATGAACTCCCGTTTACGTCATGGTTGGAGATGGTGAAAATCAAGAAGGTTTAGCACGAAGGCAGGTTAAGATTCATAGCATGATCAGATGATAGGTCAATGGATGGGAACGAATCAGTCAATGGATGAGAGCTGTCGTTTGGCGATGGTGATGATAGCCAGCAACAATAATAGGGGTTTGAAATTAGAGAATTAGGGATTTAGATTTGTTTTGAGATTTTAGAGAATCTAGGGTTTAAAAAATTAATAATTTCAAGTTTTTCAAATGAAAATTTCAAAATAAATATAAACACGACATTAGTCACGTTTTAAGTGATTGGCAAATAACGGCATTGATAGACCAAAACATTCGAAATAATTATGAAAGAAAAGTTAGAGAATCCATCAAGTAGCTTCAATGGTTAAAGGGAGTGTTGTTCTACCTAGAGGTCCTTGAGTTTAAGCAACTACGTATGCGGGTGTGTTTGCATTGTCAATAATTAAAAAAAATTATGAACATATACTATCTTATAATCATACTAGATTATTTAACAAAATCTTTAAATAAATCAAGGGAATAAAATTTATAGTTAAACATTCATTTTTTTAATTAATAAGCCTTTTACACCAGAAAACTATGGTTTGTTTCTAATAGAATTAGAAGCAAGAAGCCTTAATTTCCTGGAAAGCGAGCTTATTGTAAATGGGGTCTCACATGCTCCCATTTATGAGGAATGCAATATTATGCAACGAAAAGCTGATGGAAAGCTGACACTGTTGCTCTGTTTTTGTCCTTCATCATTCGTAGGGTAGCTAAGCTTGATCCTAGATTTCGGGGATCTCTGCTCATTTTCAACAAATTCTTTTTTACAAACACCATTTGCATAACAGCACGAACGTGTATGATATCAGCGATTACGTATCCATATACATAGGTTTTTTTTATGATAAACTGATCTGAATCATTCTCTTTTAACTAGAATGTTCAATCAGTATTAATGTCACGATAATTCTCTATCAATATCTACTTAAAACATTATAAATAGTCATATAATCGAGAACAGGAATACATACATATTTTTTCACTCAGGAAGCTAGATGCACACTACCAAAATAACTTTCTGACTATTATCTACTATTGTTGTCTATTGCACCTATCAATAAAATGATTTTTATATTATTTTGGGCGGCAATTCGGGGTTAGTGCCTAGTGGCGTTTCTCCATCTCGAGGTTAGATCACTATGATTTGAGCGAAATAGCTCAAGTAATTTAGTAATATTTGAATATATTTAAAATATTATGATTTAATATATATCTAAATGTATGTAAAATAGGGGAATATAAACATTCAAATAACTTAAAAAAAGAAAACATTAACATTACGTAGATACATTGATTCGCTTGTAAGAATATTAAGTTAAATGAATAATTTGTCTTGTTATCCTCGAACCAAGTCAAGACAGGTTGAAAGCACTATGGAGACAAAGATTTGGTGGAGAAACACATGTCAGTCATCATAATTTTAAGACAAAAAATTACATCACGTGAAGTTTCTCATTAGTGGGGTTAAATTTAATTAATAAACAACTAATTGTAAACCTCTAAGCAATCAAACATCAACGTCTCCATTTCCAATATAATAATATCCAATCACTTTTATATTTATTGTTAATGGACCAAACCACAACTAATCACACAAATATATTTATTTTTTAAAAAGAGTATTTGATTTATTCTAATTTTATATTCTTGTCCGAATATTTATGAATATAAAAGTAGATAAAAATGTTTTTGTAATAAATCTAGGTGAATATAAGATAGTATTTGTTCATAAACTCTCAATCATTTGACAATGAACGCTTAGACCCCTACATACGTGGTGTTTAAATCTTGGATCTCAAGAGATAACAAGAAATACATTAACCACGTCTGAGATCATTTGGTTCGTGCAAAAAAATATCACTTAGAATTTTAAATTTTTCAATGGTGACATGACATTGCCTTATGATGAGACATTGTCTTATGATGAGACATCATCATTACTGTTAATTTTTTAATGGTGGATGACTACAATGAAATAAAAACATAACATTAAGTATAATTTTAAAACAAAAAGTAATTTGATGGCCAAAAGGGAACAAAAGTTATAATTGATGTACTAAATGTGTAGTTGATCCCAGTGGCGGAACTATGTGTACATCAGGGTGGGCACGTGCCCACCATAAAATTTGAATTTCTTTATATTAGTTGTTCATTTTACTAATGTTGTCCATTCTAGAATTTTATTTATACGTATTCCATACAAAATATTTCTATCATTAATTATATATATCGATCCTAAAAAATATTTTTAAATCAATCACTCATCATTGATACTATAATTTATAGTGTTGCTTGCCAAAGGGAAGAATGTGCTATTGGCGATTCAAAGCCTCAGTTTAGCTCCTCCATTAAATCATTAATCATTGTTTAAATAATCAAAAGTTATGAACTCAGTTAGGCACTTTTGGACGGTGCAAAAATCTGTTACGCAACTGAACATAATGATTTCAACAACATTTTATTATATTATTTGCAACAAAACATATTTCATGTGGGTCAACTTTCTTGAATACATTATGCTGAGGAGCCAAAAATCTCTATATTTATTAATTGTTAGAAAACAAAGAGGTTACTTAATCACATTCTTTCTACTTAACAGGATTGTTTCCCAATTATGAGTGTTATTGTTAAGGTATTTTTTTATTTTTTGAAAGAATTTTGTGGAGCGTCATATGTGGGCAGTTGAACATAAGTATTTTTTCCTCTCAATTCTTAAAGTTTCTCCCTGATTAATCTTAATCGATTCAGGTTATATATCTGATTTTGATAGATGAATCTCAGAAAGAAAATTTTCTAAATACACAAGGACGCAAAATCGATATTTACTTAAACAATGTCGAATTACTTACCATTTAAACCAACTCCCATCAATGAACATAAGTCTTAATAATCGTTTTTTCTCAATAATTTATCTTTCAACCTTTATTAAGATTTTAATAAACATTTTGTATGATTTATACAATTTAAAATATCATATGAAAAGTATAAGATGTATGTATCGAAGTGAATTTTAACTTGAACTTGATGAGATTTGAACTCATGTCCTTAAGAGAAATTAATGAGGAAGAACAATACTACTTAAAATTCGACATAAACACTTTGGGACACATTATCGATTATTAAATTTTTTTTTTAAGAAATCATTTGATAGGCAATATTTCACTTCTTAATATACATACAAAGAGATGATAAACATACCAACATCCACATTATGTGAGATGAGGCACTAGATCCCTTAAATAATGTTAGAGGTTCGATTTTTGGCGTTTGCGAAAGGAACAAACTAGGTTGGAAGGTTATTATTATCTCTGGAGTACTAGATCCAGATCGATCGATTAATAAATTGGATACCAATGATTATATGTATAAAAAAGAGATAGATATACATAAATGCAGAGAGAGTACAGAAAAATCAAGAGACTTTTATTGAGTTCTTATGATTTATTTTAGAGATTTTGAAGTTTGAACATGTGGAGATCTCCCAAACCCTAATTTCTCCATCTAAACTTCCACTACAGATCAAAACGACGCCGTCAAACACACGTCTCTCAACTGCTACCAACGACTTCACAGGTTTTTCATGTCCCTCAAGAACTAAACAACAGTGGAAACCACCTTCTTCTTTCCCACGTCGCCAGACTCTCACTGTCCGATCAGATGAGCCACTAATAAACGAATGCCCGACGTTGATCAAGCACAATATCGCCGCCGAATGACCACACAATGATTCCACAAATCCCACCTGAGTATCATCATCTCTCTTCTCCCACACCATGATTGAACCATCACACCCACCGGAAAACAACACCGTTCCGTCGCCATTTAAAGCTAGCGCATTCACCGTGGATTTATGCTTATCTAGTGTTCCCACTAAACCATGCCGTCTCTCGCTTACCGCTACTTCCCAGATTCTAATCAACCCATCGGCGCCGCCCGTATAAACCGTCCCATTGTCGGAAACAACCAAAGCGTTAACGGCGTCATCATGAGCTTTAACGGATTCTAAACAACGTTGGGTCTTTAAGTTCCATATCTTGAAACTTTTGTCCCACGAAACCGAATACATTACCCCCTTTGCCTCGTTTATGATCAAACCCGAGACCGTGTCCCAGTGTTCCATCCAAAGCTTCTTTTTGTGAAGCCTTACGTTAACGTAATTCCTCGGCAACATGGAATTAAGGAGCCGGTCTTTAACGGTGGGGAGAGTGGAAATAAGGTGGTGTTTTTTGGAAGGGGTGTTGATTTTCCAGATTCTGATTTTGCCGTCCTGGTGAGCGGTGAAGATTTTGGTTTCCTTGAATGCAATGGACTTGACGAACCCGGTGGTGGGATCATCGTTAAAAGAATCCATAATGGAGTGGTTCGATAGATCAAAGACGCTGATTTCGTTGACGGCGGCGGCGTAGAGGAGGTTATCGTGGACGGCGAGGCAGCTGATGTGGTGGCTCGAGGCATTGAAAGTGGCGATACGACGATATTGCAGTGATTGAAAGGAGAAAATTTTATTATGCAATTGCGAAGGCATTCTTTGTTTTTCCATTTTAGCAGAGTCCAAGCGAAAGAGACGAGGAGTTGTGTGTACTTATATATATGAAAGTGAGAGTGGTTCCGCCGGACACGTGGAGAATGTTGATTTGATTTTCGGCCATTTTTGAAATGGTAGGTCCCAAGAAACATAGAGGTGAAGTTTTTTCTTTTATTTTGGGGGAAATTGTTTTTATTTTTAAATGAAAAAATATAAGAGTTGGAGTTTATTTTAGGGTAAAGTATACAAATCGTCTTTCGATTATAGAGCGTAGTTTTGTTGAATTTATCAGTTATTAAAAGTTACTAAATGTCCGTTGACTATAGGATGATGTTTTTTAGTCCATCGATTTTTAAAATTATAAAATAATCATTTGACTATCCATATATTTAAAAATCACATTTTCTGTTAAAAATTTGATAGCCGTTTGAGCTGGACGTTAACATATTACTAGGATATGATAAAATCATAATTTAATGATGTTTACTGGCACCATTGTTGCTTTTAAGCACTAGTTTTACAACATAATAATTCAAGTATTGATTTGATGATATAATGTAAATGGAGAGTTGATAAATAAAATACAATTCAAACGGTTTTAGATTCAAATTTTATCATACCTCAGTCAGTAAGTTAACATTTAGTTTAGACTGTTGTTAATTTTTTTTAATAAAAATAACAAGTTTGAAACATATAAATAATCTATTGACTATTTTATAAGTTTTAATAATTGAGGAACTCACTAAAATAAAAGAGTACCATATAATTGAAGAATTATTTTATAAATTTTTAATTATCCATTAATGGTACATGCAATGAACGAGCGTTTAAAGTTTGGTTAATATATGCAAGTGTAATTTGTTGGCGGATTCTCAACGTGATTTGATTGATATTTTGAAGTTGACACTTTTTAATTAAAATATAATAAATTATTATTAGTTTATTTTTATTCATTTTCAATCAATCAAATGCACATTTACATTATTGATTGAATTTATATTCTAACTAATCTATGTTAAAATAAACTATTATAATATTTCATATAAATAATACATTAACATATTTTAAAAAATACATATAATAATTTGTTAAAATTTTATGAAATTAAATTATTTTAAGAATATATTAACTATTTTGACTAAAAAATCACAAGAAGAAAAATTGCATTTTTATATTGATACATCAATTGGATTTAAACGACCTTAATAGTAAAATTAAATTTTGATTTTCTTAGAAATTTCAAATTTAAGAAATTACGTCTGCAAAGTATATATAATAACTAAGAAATATTATAAATATATATTATTTTATACTAAATCCAAATAATTCAAAAAGTTTGATACATAAATTCTTTCAAATTTGTTTACGTAGTTGTCGACACATATTTTTGTCCGATCACGCGACATTTACATGTTACTTTATGTGTTGTTATTTTTATTATATAGTGTGTATGTATTATATGTATACATATTATATATTATAATTTAACTACTAATTTGTTATGTATTGTTACAGGCCCAAAGACCAAATGCAAACAAGTCCCAATGGCCCACATCAACAACCCTAGCTTCCATATTTTCTCACAAGCACCGCAACCAACGTGCAAGGGGGAACCGCCCGTCGAGTTCCACGGTCAACCCGAAGACGCCTCTCGCCTCACGTCTCCCTCCACGTCACTGGAATCCTCGCCAACAACCAACAAATCACAAGCAAAGCAAGAATTTCAGTCCTAACAGGAGTCTAAAACCGGATTAGCACTATAAATACACATGCAAGGAGGAGGATATAGGGGAGAGAAAATTTCATACGAAACACACAAAGGGGGGGAAGGAAAACTACGAGCACGATTCGAACCCAAAAAAATCCATAGCTAGAAAAATCAAAACCAGAGGGTTTTTCAGAAACGAAAAGGGAAAAACGAGAGCATTTGGGGAAACCAAAAATCAAAAGAGAGGCTATTTTTTCATATTAAAAAAGAGAACCATCCGAGGGGATCCATTGGAGAAAACTAGAAACATTTCCTCAAATACAAAGAAGGAAGCAAAGAGCCAAGTAAAAAACTTGACATTTCCATTCGAAGAAGCAATTTTCGTTCACAACCAAGAACCTTCAAAAGGTAGCCTCTTTCCTTTGTTAAACTGTGTAAACATCTTCTTGTGAGTTTTATATTTTAAGTTATTTAATGAAAAGTGGTGGTGCTTTAATAATGGAAGAAAACGTGGTGGTGCTTTAATAATGGATGAATCTGTGCATAAAAGTAAAAAAGGAAAATTCCATGCTTGGTCCCTTCCTTTTATAAACCACTACGTGTATTTTGTTTTCAACTTTTGGGGCGGGGAAATCATCAGTTTAAACCCTTATCTTTGTAACATTATCCTTTGGTCACTGAATAATGTATTACTTTCATTACGTGTTTCAAATATTATTTGTATGTACTTTGGTCACTGTTTCAATTTTGAATATCTTAGGTTTAATCATATTTAAATCCTCCATGTTTCTATGTAATTTATTTTGGTCTTTTATTTTTTTTTCTTCTTTGATTTATTTATTTATTATGTTATTTATTTATTTATTTTTTTTCTTTATCTTTTTTCCTTTTAATTTATTTTATCATTTTTAATTTTTATTTTTTTACATTTTTTCTTTTGATTTATTTAATATATTTTTATTTTATTTTATTTTCCCTTTTGATTTTTTTTCTTTATTTATTTGTTTATTTATTTTTTATTTTTGTTTTATTATTATTTTTTATTTTCATTCTCAGGTTTTTTTTCCTTGATTTTTTTATGTAATTATTTATTTATTCTTTTTTCTAACATTTTTGACATTTTTTTAAGAATTTCAATCGATCAAAGGTACGCGATCTGAATCGGGTTTTTAATTTAAATTCTAATTTTCGCAATTAAAGACAACCGATAAATTAATTGGTACCGAAAGGGTGGTTTAAGGGTGCTAATCCTCCCTTGACCGTAACCGACTCCCGAACCCGACACATTTTTTGTACAACGCAGATCCGGTAAGATGGTGTCCGACCCACCTAAATTCGTTTTAAACTGGTCGGTGGCGACTCTAACCCAATTATTCAAGTCGATGCCCAATTCCGGGGCCCAACCGAAAGACGGTTGCGATAGCTTGGCGACTCTGCTGGGGACAGGTAAGTGAGTCAGGCCAGAATTAATTTCCGGTTGTCTTTTTATGCGAAAATTGTAAATTTAAATTTTAATTTATTTATTCGGTTCCAATTATTTACCTTTGATTATTTTTCAAATAAATAGTTGTACTAACATTTTTTCAATGATTTCAGATTTTTGAAAAGTTTCTATCTCAGGCTCTGTACCCGAGCTCCGAACCCTTTTAAGTGGGGGCGAAAGCGACGCATTCGTGTGAATTTATTCACCGTATGGGCCTAGCAAGTAACCTTCGGGATTCATATACCTTATGCCTTCGTGTGAATTTATTCTCCGTATTGGCATAAGGAAATGTTTCCTCTCGAATTTAACTTAGTCCACACAAGCTTGTAATAGGCTTAGGACTAAGGGTCTGGCAAGCCCAAGGGGGCACCGGCAAGGAGAACTCGAGTACCTTTTTAGAACCTAAACCGGGAGAGTGCAGGGAATTAGAGCTCACCCCAAGACCTCATTCCAAACCCTAGGATGCTTTGTTTCCTGCTTTATTTTCTGTTCAAAGCATGCGAACTAGACAAATATGCGGTTAGGATTTGTGTGGAATTAGCATGCGGGATAGAGATCATGTCCGGGTAGGAATTAAAGCATGCGGGGTAGATATCATGTGGGGTAGGACTTTTCATTTTCATTTTTTTATTTATCCTTATCTCACTAACTTTTTTCTCCTTTCATTTTTGTTCTTTTGCATTGTTTATCATTTGCATCATTAAAACGAGGTGTTGATCCACCAAAAACGTGTTTGTTAAACATGAATAATCTGCATTAATGGACAAAGGGGTTGTAATACAAGAGATGAAAATGCAGAGGACAATCTACAAGGCGACTATGTGGTCCCCACAATTGAAGAGTATATCACTCTGGTGCATTATAAAAGACTCAGGATGAACCGGGTATACACCAAGTAATGAAAGTCTATCTTTGAAGAATTGACTGCCAAAGGTTGCAGAGCAAAACGAGGAAAATGTTACAGACCTGGACGCTCCTTTCAAAAACTATGAGAACAAGACGGTGAAACCCTAGCTGAGCTGAATATCATTGCTGACGAATTCAAGAAGAAAACTTCGATAGAGGGCTCCAATGGTGTTGCTGCTAGGGAACAGACTCGGCAGAGAGTAGAAGCCGGAGGTGCAGTCCTTCGAGACTCTTTTTGGGGCAAACAACTCATCATCTGCATAAGTCGGAGCGGTTCGACAGGTTATCCAACCGGTGACAGATGAACGCAGAAGACTAGTCACCATGTCAGAAGTTGTCAGAATATTCTTGTCTCTTAAAAGATAAAACACTTTTGTCCCCAATAAGGATTATTTTTAATAACATACACATTTTTGGATCAATGCCTCGAACATTGCATGCATCATGCATTCCTGCATATTTCGCATTATTTTCCTTTTTTTTATTACATTCACATGTCTCATAAAAAATAAGAACATTTCGATCCTATGACATATAAGGAGCTTTACCAACAGTTGTTTGACGCACATGTGATGTCACCATATCCAGAGAAATCCATGAAGCCCCTGTACCCTAGGTAGTATGATGAGAATGTTCATTGTGAATATCATAGCGGTGTCCCAGGGCGCACTATCAAGAACTACTCCACATTCAAGAAAGTCGTACAGAAGATGTGTAACCATAACTGGATCGACTTCAACAACTTGGGGGCATCCAAGTGAGGAAGATCATTTCATCATTTGAGGCATTCTGTTTGAACTTGTTTTTTCTCACTTTTTCAAGTTTTGTAAGAACATTTATGTTATTTTAATGATGACGATCAATGAATCACATTTGCAAACTTGCAATTCTTTGAATATCATT